TCAAATTCAGTTTTATTGTTTAATGTCTCATATCAAATGTTTTTAATTATCCAACATCTCTGTAAAACCCTTTGAATTGCCTTGGGCCTGAATGGTGCTAATAATCATCTTGCCTTGAATAGAGCAACAATCATACAATTATATCAGTATTGCCGTGATGGTGCTGTTTCCACAGCAGCTGGCACTTAATGCTCTATTACCATCAGCTCCACATTGAAGGGGTGCTGCTGTGAGTCTCTACTGTTAAATCCACAGAAAGGACTGGAAGATTTTACCATGGAATTATGGGAAGTAGGTGAATTACCTGAATGGAGAGCACCTTATGGTTATGCTACATTCAAAGACATTACCTGCATTTTATAGTTTCCTTCTAGTGTGTCACATCCCTTCGTAATGATAGTGAATGTAACTCCAGAGGTCCTTAACATGACTTCATTCTTACATGCCACTATAATTCTTTTGTGACAGGCAATGAGTTCCTCTGTCTGTGCTCAAAAACAAACTTTGATTTAAAATAAAAATGTGCAGGTGGTAGATAAGAAGCTACTGCTACAGCAGAGTCCTGAAGACAGAGGAGAGAGGAGAGTCGAAAAAATTGCAGAAAGGCTTTGTTGCCAGGGGCTTGAAGGAGGATGCAAGCAACTGAATTCATGAGAAAAAAATATGTGGTCGTAAAGAATATATGGTAATACGGCATGCCATTTACACGGTGGGAATGGGATGGGACACAGTGGCGGAGTGGTGAAAAGTACCTGGTGATGTCCGAGTCAGGGAACAGGCTTAAGTGATAGTTTGGGAGAGGGGCGGAGTGAAGGAGGCTTTTGTCGCACTCCACTGGGGAATAGTGTCGGGGGGAGGGAGCTTTGTCACATAGTTTGTTCACAGTGCTGTAAACTGGCTCGGGATGCCTACAGTGGAGTGAGAGACAAGAGCAGAGGTTAGTGTCCAAAGACGGAGGTGGGGCTGAACCGACTGGGATAAACACAAGTGAGAATGAGGCATAATGACGAAGGACAGGAGGAATAAAAAAATAAAAATAATGAAGCATTGGATATGGTGGAGGTGGAGGAGCCACTGATACATGATGTATATTATATGTGGTTATCGCTGGTCAAAACCTAAAATCAAACACAAGAGCTGCCCTGCTTTACATCATAAAGAGAAAAGGCAACATAATCAATATCTTACATTGAAAAAACAGCTATATAGATTGTATGGGTACTATGAGAATTGTTGCCATCATCAATTCATCTGTCTGATTTTTTTAAATTCAGTCTAAAAAATATCAGAAATTATTGAGACGTTTTTGCCACAGCCCATAAAATCTAATTTGAAAAGACTGTATGACAATATTTCTGTGATAAATGAATCCAGTAGTAGCAAAAAAGAAATAGCTAACAATCATGTAATGAAATGAATTTGTCAATTAATTGAAAACTGTATAAAGACATCAATATTCATTTAACAAATTTGTATATCAACATGCCAAATGTAGCAGTGGTATTACTTGATGTCTAAAACTAACGATTTTAAGAAAATTGATTTCTGTAATAAAAACTACAGCCATTTTTTTGTGAAAATTGAAATTTGATCTCTGAGAAACAAGAAAGAGAGAAGAAAAGCCACTTCAGAAGATGTTCATACCATTTGGTCAGGCAAAAAACAAATAAAAAGAGGTTCATGCTTAAAAACTGCTGTGATGAAATTCCAGGTGCATGGTAAACTGATATAGGTTTTTCAGCTTATGAAAAACAGCTGATGGCTGATATGTGATTGTGATATTATTTTAAACTTGTTAAATGTTGCATCTGATAAAATACAACAATTTCATAATAGTGACAAA